AGGAAAATGTGGCTGAGAAGAAAATTGTTCCAGAAATGAGATTTTGCTTGGTCAAAAATGCGTTACATAAAATTCAAAAATATTACAGTGAACATTACAAGAACAATTTAATTTAGCCCCTGTACTAAGGAAGCCTCAAATGAAAAAAATCCACATGACAGAAATTCTCAAGGAAAAAAATGGGACTCCCATCATTAATCTAATTTTTTCAAGAATGAGTTTTTTAAATCAAAAATGGGTACTTTCCTGTTATCTCAGTACCTCATTCCTAGAGTGCACTATCATCCAGACAAATCTTTAGGATGAGTTCATAATCACAACAACCTACCAGAAACTGTGAATTTTATTTTTTTGCATTCTGCTGAAACTGATTTTGGGAGGCAGTTAGGTTAGGTCAGGTTATGTTAATGTTTATGTTAATTGAAAGATATTTGTAACTAACATAACCTAACTTTACCTAACCGCCTCCCAAAATCAATTTCAGCTGAAACCCAAAGAAAGCAGAAACTGATTTTGGAAGGCGGTTAGGTGAAGTTGGGTTATTTGTCTGGATGGTAGTGATGTAGTTCCTTTTCTCTGCAACTAACGTGATTAACTGATTTTTCATCACACAAATACTGAATTCACGAGACAAAGAAAAATGGGTACTGAGATAACAGGAAAGTACCCAAAAATTCTCAAATTGTTATCAAGTTTTGAAATGAATCCTAAAAATGTCCCATAAGTTACAAAAAATGAGCTTTAAAAGGTATAATTCCACATATTTTCCACTTGAGAGATTGTATAAAATTCATAAAGTTGAGTATTGTCAGGATTACTTAGATTGTTGAAACAAAAAGACTAAAATCTAAACTTGAAAGATAGACTGCATCGAAATTATGTTTCAATACTATTAATGTTCCTGTGCGCTTCTTCTTTTCAAACGTATTGAAACCTTTTGAAAAACTTGAAGCTTTGCTGAATGCGGCTCTTTTGAGATACAGTACTTTAATTTAAAATTTTTAAAAGGGTTTCCCTTCAAAAGTTTAATGGGATAAAAATACAGGAGGTAAATTCCACATTAATTATTATTTGCAAAGTAAAGTGTATAACAATTTACAATGTCACTATATATTATAGTACAGTGGACTCACTGACGGTATTATTAGTACTGGACATGTTTTTTTTTTAATGCAGTAATTCTCACCCAACCAAGAGTCCGATTCCAATGAGGAAAGGAATCATGATGAGAACCAGAGTCTTTCTCTTCCCAAACCTCATATTGAAGGCGCCACCCATGGTACCCCCAAAACATGCTCCAAGATGGTACAAAGAAGCCACCCAAGCCTTCTCAGACTCTGTAAGCTCATCCTTGAGCTGTTCCAACACTGGTGAAGGGTAGGCAAGTACACAACCTACTGCTGCTGATGACAAAGCCGCTGTTGATGGAAAATGCATTCCTTCAATTGGGACAGTTTTAATAGTACCAGATGTATACAGAAGTACTGTATCAGGCATGTTTTTCTCAAAATTGAGAGGGAAGAAAGGCAGTGAGCATTTTAGACAGGTGTAAGTTCAGAATATTTTAGAAATTAAGGTGTGTATACAGTATTTTATTTTATAATGGAGAATTCTGCCCCAATTCCAATCAAAAAAGACACTGTAATGAAAATCATTAAAAATTAGTTGAATTCAATGTCACATTCCTAAATTCAGATTTTGGTGCAATCATTTTTGACAACTTGCAGTGTTACAGTAAATAAAAATGGGATGCGCATCTTACTTCAGGAAAGAAATTTTATGAACAATTTTGACTGAAAAACCCCAGTGTGTGTATTACTTGAGGTTGTGTGGTACTTGAGTAAATATGGTATTGTATTTGAAAAAGGTTTCTCACCAGAAAGACCTGCAATCCATTGGTTTCTTTTAACACTTTTTGAGTAATCCAAAGGTGAGATGAATTCCTTGGTGCTNGCTACTGAGGCCTGACTCCATGATAGCTGAAACAAAGAGTAAGTTATTTACAAAATACCCACAGGGCAATGTAAAAAGCAACCAATAAGCAAAAAGTAGAAAATAACCCTTACAAATACAGTGAGTCCCCACAGAATAAAACAATTCCATTTCTGGATGCATGTCATTTATGGGCATTATTAGTGATGAAAACTGCATTTTCTCTTTAGTATATATTCAAAATGTGTAATTTTCTCCAGACACACACCAAAACACAACAGAAAACCTTGGAAAGGGTGTGATTTTTCAAATTGTATACATAGAATTCTGAATTTAAAATTGACTAGTATGAAACAGAAGTGATCCTGACAATGTCTTGCTAATTTTCTGAATTCAGAAATTGGTATATGCAAAAAGAAGTAAACTATGTCTTTCTATTCTTATCCCTCACGATTTTTAAAAATTCAGATTTCAGTTCAAAATTTGTTAACATTTGAGCTGTTGGGCTGAATAACAAATTCATTGTGTGAAACAGTCATGTTTTTCACTATAATAATTTCTCAAGAGAATTCTTGTTGATGTGTGAGGACTCACTGTAACTGAAATAATACACTTCAGTCACTTATTGAGATACAGGAATACCTGATCAACTAATATTATTCAAAGAACATTAACTGTTCAGAATCAGAGAAACATTCTCCTTCTGATTTCATCTGGTAGACCAGAAATGAGCACCTCGTGTGTATTGTGGCTTCAAGAGCTGGATTGTCTGCAGGGGGCTAAATAAGATAAAGCACTTATTGTTTTGGAACAACTTCTTTTGCGATTTTCACCTCAGCCACTTGAAAATATCTGCGCTGCGACTGTAGAATGAGATAATGAGATCACTCCCTGTTCTGGGATCAACCAGAAGACCAGGTACATCCTAGTGCAAGGTTGAATATATACCTTATTTTGAGAGCATTTGGTGAAGTTATTTTTTTCGGTTTTCATGGTGTGTGTTTAGCTTGTCCTGTTTTACTTAACCTTGGAAAAAGCCAAGCATTTATTTATTTTTTCATCAGAACAGCAAGAAAAATGTGTGCTCCTGTCAATAAATGAGATGTTTGCACAGCACCACATAAGGTGGTTTAATTAGTTAGTACTTATTATTGATAGTCATTTTTATGTGTTAAATGGCCATATATTGCTGGTCTGACAAGAAAATTCTCTGTGTGCTTCAGTATTTGGATTATTCAGCAGCCGCTGATTTAAGTCATTTAACATATGTCTAACCAGTGTTAGCCAATTATATGCATAATTTCAGCACCTATACAGGTTAGGAGTGGGTAATAGAATGGTATCTTTAGTTACCTGCTGGGAGTAGCCCCATGCTGTGATGGAAGCATGTATGCAAAAAAAAAAAATGTTGCCAACATCCAAAGGCATGTTTCTTGCAGTTCAACCATGAGTGATACTGATTCATTGCAGGGGATCCTCACATGTTGAATGTATTGCATAAATGTTTTTTTCTGAAAGTCTGGAATTCTCATGTGAAATTCACTATGGCTCAAATGGGTACAATGCAGGTTGACTTTTTTCCATTTCATTTTTGAGAGGTGATTTGTTTTGTGTCTCTATTGTGATAGTAATGAATTCTCAAGAGATTGCTCACATTTATAAAGGAAAAGCTGCTTTTTCAAAAAAATTTTGTGGAACATCATTTTTCCTTGCTGAGTATAGATCATAATTTTTTTCAAAACTATTTTTTTCTGTCATACACAACTGGTAAGTTGAATAAATAAACTTTTAATTTTACAATGCAAAAATTCAAAAGGATATAATAAATAACAAATTATGTGCATCAGTTCTTGGGTCTCAGCTGACAAAAAATACTTGGTAGCATATTTTCCAGACAAAAAACATCAGGCTAATGAGATTTTTTGAGGCAAATTATGGTCAGAAATTCAGCTTACCATATTTTTTCAGAAACTGGAAATTTATTAATATTGAAAAAAAAATCATGACATCAGTGTGAGACATGATGTATGAAAAAAATGAGGAATTATTGATGTCTGGCACCAATTTTTTAAAATGATCTTGATCCGTTTGTTTCAATGCGAACTCATTTTTATGCAAATTATCATCAAAAAAGCTATTTCCAGCCATCTTTATCTCATTGTGGTTGGTTCTTGGGCACATTTTACGCCAAAAATTGAGGACGGTTCTTATTCCAGGACATTTGATGTTTGAGTTTGACCAACTTAATTGAGTAAATACAGTGGATGACTTTTTCGTCGGTTATCTATGCTGGAATGTGTCAATTCCCAGTTGTTACTATATACGGAAATCAGCATGGGCAGTCTGCGGGAATTTGATCTATTTCCTCATCAACAGCATTAATCTATTGCAGGCAATAAGAGGTTCATAACCTTCGAAAAACAAAACAAAATTTGGTTCGGCACATGAGCACTAACAACAAGAGCTTTTTCCACCAGTTTCCCCATGTTTACTAGAATAATGTCAGTAGGATCCGAAAACATTTCCTTCCAGAGGAATAAGTTCCTGTTTCCATCCGTCCTGGCCTCAAATTAATCGTATTAGAATTCGGGAAACAGGAAAAACGTGTTATTCAAATTCATGAGATACGTTTCGTGTATTTTTTTAGGGATCACAGCAGCGACAATAAGGATGTACTGTACTGTAGCATTGACGAACATGTTCATTCAATTTCTACATAAGTACTGTATCTGATGACTTCGCGTTTCCAAATATTGTTTGTCTTGTTTTTGCCGGAGACAAATCTGGAAATCTCCGCGGGAGTAACATGACAAGATAATATATTTGATTTCGACGCTGCGCCACACTTGAAAGTCATGTTTTGTTGTTCGAACTTCAAGAACCCTCTAATGCAGTTCATTGGGGAACTTTTTCCAATATAAGGGCCGACAAAAACAGGAAATCATTCATGGATCTGGTCTTTATTTAAATTTAGAAGGACTCCATGATATCAGTACGCAACATTGCCCAAGCGCAAGCAAAAAACATAAAAATAAATAATAATA